CGCGTCTGTACTGCTTGCCCCTGAGGGAGACCCGGATGCACTAGACATCCCGACTCCGCGTTCTTACGCGGAGGCCGTAGAGGGTCCCTACTCCTCTCAGTGGCAGGCAGCTATGGATGCAGAGATGGCTTCCTGGAAGTCCACAGGCACCTACGTTGACGCAGTTCCCCCTCCTGGGGCGAACATCGTCAGTGGCATGTGGATCTTCCGGGTGAAGCGGCCGCCGGGCTCTCCACCTGTCTTCAAGGCGCGGTACGTTGCTCGTGGCTTCAGTCAGCGGCAGGGAGTTGACTACTTTCAGACCTTCTCTCCCACCCCGAAGATGACCACTCTTCAGGTGCTGCTGCACATAGCCGCTCAGCGCGACTACGAGCTTCACTCTCTCGACTTCAGCACTGCGTTCCTGCAGGGTAGCCTGCACGAGGAGATCTGGCTGCGCCGTCCACGTGGCTTCACTGGGACTTTCCCTCCTGGCACCCAGTGGAGCCTCCGACGGCCAGTCTACGGTCTCCGCCAGGCACCGCGTGAGTGGCACGACACACTGAGGACTACGCTTGCGGCTCTTGGGTTTGCTCCTTCTACTGCTGACCCGTCGCTGTTTCTGCGCACCGACACTTCACTGCCGCCGTTCTACATCCTCGTGTACGTCGACGACTTGGTCTTTGCCACAGCGGACACTGCTGGACTCGCCTACGTGAAGTCCGAACTGCTGAAGAGACACACGTGCACAGACCTGGGTGAACTGCGCAGCTACCTTGGCTTGCAGATCACTCGGGACAGAGCACGCCGCACCATTACCTTGACTCAGTCACACATGGTGCAGCAGGTCCTTCAGCGCTTCGGCTTCACGTACTCCTCGCCTCAGGCCACTCCTCTGCCTACTCGCCACTCACTCTCAGCTCTGCCTTCGGATGAGTCCGTAGAGTCGAGTGGTCCGTATGCAGAGCTTGTTGGCTGCCTCATGTACCTGATGACCTGCACACGACCTGACCTTGCATATCCTCTGAGCATTCTTGCACGCTATGTTGCTCCTGGGAGACACAGACCAGAGCACATGGCTGCAGCGAAGAGGGTATTGCGCTACCTGTGCAGTACGTCGGGCATGGGGCTTGTGCTTGGAGGGCGGAGTCCAGTGGTCCTTACCGGCCACGCGGACGCTTCTTGGGCTGACGACCAGGCTACGCAGCGGTCGTCACAGGGTTACACCTTCAGCCTTGGTTCCGGCTCTGTCTCGTGGCGGTCTACTCGCTCGTCTTCGGTTCTCGGCTCCAGTTGTGAGGCTGAGATCTACGCCGGGGCCATGGCTGCACAGGAGCTTCGCTGGCTCACCTACCTGCTGACTGACCTTGGAGAGCCGCCTCGTTCTCCTCCAGTGCTGTACGTAGACAACAAGGCCATGCTGGCCTTGTGTCGAGAGCAGCGCTTGGAGCACAGAACGAAGCACATTGCTCTCCGCTACTTCCTTGCTCGTGAGCTGCAGCAGCGTGGTCAGTTGCGACTTGCGTACGTGGCCTCTGAGGCCAACACTGCTGATGTGTTCACCAAGGCACTCGCGCCTTGTGACCATCAGCGCTTTTGCACCCAGCTGGGTCTTGTGCCTGTCTTGCCTCACTTGCTCTCCTCTTGACTTCACTTGTACTGTGACATATATATATACCTGCTCTTGCTTGTCTAGTTTTATATATATGTCTGTACTCCTGCATGTGAACTGGCCTCTGGCCCTGCTCTTGTGCTCGGACTGTGTGGTGACTTTGTGATCCACCCTGAGCTTGCTTTGCTTTGCTTGACTGGTCTTGTGACCCCTTGTTCTCCCCCACTTTGCCTATGGGGGTGTGTCAAACATTATATATGTTATGCTTGTGTAGGCTACAGTGGGTTAGCCTATAGGGGGTACACAATTCTAGGGTTTCCTACTTGTACTCATTTCACTGCTAGTTCATTCATTCCTGTTCGCTTATTCTCACAGCTGGGGCGGCGCGGGCGGCTCGGGCGGCTCGGGCGGCTCGGGCGGCTCGGGCGGCTCGGGCGGCTCGTGCGGCGCTGGTGTCGCGACGGGCGGCTCGCTGGCAGCTCGCGGGCGGCTGCACAGGCGGCTCAGGGACGGCGGCGCGGGCGGCTCAGGGAGCTCACGGGCGGCTGCGACGGGCGGCTCGCGGGCGTCGGGCGCTAGGGCGTTGGGGCGACGACGGGCGGCGCTCAGGCGTTCGGGCGGGCGGCCGTAAGGGCGAAAGGGCGGTCGGCGCTCGGGCGCTAGGGCGGGCGGCCGGCCGTCAGGGCGCTAGGGCGGGCGGCCGTCAGGGCGCTAGGGCGGGCTGCGTGCGGGCGCTAGGGCGGGCGGCCGTCAGGGCGCTAGGGCGAGTGGCGCGCGGGCGCTAGGGCGGGCGGCCGTCAGTGCTCTAGGGCGGGCGGCGCTCGGGCGCTAGGGCGGGCGGCGCTCGGGCGCTAGGGCGGGCGTCGCTCGGGCGCTAGGGCGGGCGGCTCTCGGGCGCTGGGGCGGGCGGCCGTCAGGGCGCAAGGGCGGGCGGCCGTTAGGGCGCTAGGGCGGTTGGCGCTCGGGCGCTAGGGCGGGCGGCCGTCAGAGGAGGGAGCGGCGGGAGCGCGACGGTAGGGGCGACACGCAGGGTCGCTAAAAAAAAAGAACGCGCGCCTCGGGGCGCGCTTCGGTGGGCCCTAGGAACAGTCCCTAGGAGGAGACCTGCTCTGATTCCATGAGAAGAATTGAACGAGAATGGGAATGACTATGAACGAAGTGAGTACAAATAGGAAACCCTAATTGGGTTGTACCCCCTATGGGATACCCCACTATAGCCTACAGGAACAAGTAAGCTATATGTTCTGACAGTTGGGCGAGCAGGCATTCTCGTCAGTAGTTGGCCCAACTTCTACTGACTGCTGGCGTTTCCCTGCCTCTGAGACTCCCTCCCCTGCTCTGCTCCTCGGCGCCTCAGCTCCTCTGGGCATTCGCTCTTGCGATGGCCCGGCCTGTTGCAAGCAAAGCAGCGTCCCTTAAACGGTGCGGCAGCTGCATTCGTTGCGACGGCGTGTAGAGTGGCGTGCTCGGTTGGTCCCCGAGGACGATGTCCGTAATAGGACCCCGGTCTCGGTCGGCGTAGAATGTCGATCTTCTCGGCGAGCGCGAGAATCTCGTTGAAGTTAGAGAGTCCGCGCAGCATTATCTCGTGCGAGATGTCCGGCTTCAGCCCTCCGACGTAACGGTCCACCCGCTCCGCTTCGTGCATGTAGCCGACCTGCTCGCAAAGTGCGAGAAAACCGCTGGTATAGTCTTGAACTCACCCGAGCTGGCGCCAAGTGCGCAGTTTCTGATGCGCCGAAATTGAAGCCGCGATCGGCTCAAAGCGCGCCCGAAGCCCTGCGCACCACGCATCCCACGTGCTGTATTGGGCGGTCTCGCAGAACGAACTCCAGGTGACAGGTGGACCCGAGGGCCCTTCCTCGTGCGACGGTGGCTCGTAGGCGCGTGGCGACGTCACGATGACTCGCCACCAGTCCATGGCGGGGCCTCTTAGCAGTGAAACCGCATACCGGATCTTTGCGGCGTCCGACTCGACGTAATTGGCGTCGAAGAAAACGTTCATCGTGAAGACCCACGATTGAACTGTCGGACCGCCGCGTTGACTTGGGTCGAAGCAGGGCGGGCGTTGCGGCTTGAGCGGCATTGGTGCCATGTTGGGTTGTTCGCCACTTGTCGCCGCAAATTCCACGTGCCGACGGACTTCTCGAGGCTCCCGTGGGCTTGGTGCGATCCTGTTTCCTCCCATGCCAGGCATCGGCTGGGCGGCGCCCTCACTGGCTGCGCCTGAGCGTTGTCCCGTGCTGTCGTGTTGTGTTGGTGTGCCGGACGAGATGATGATCGGCTCATCCGAACGTGCAGATTCGTTTGTTGGTGCGTGGGATGTCGTCGGTACGTTCATCGTGGATTGTTGACGGGCGGAGTCACGTTCCGCCGTGAGGGTCGCGATTTCAAGCGCCGAATCCTCCAGTTGACGCACGAGACGATCAAGTTGCTCCTGCGTCAATGTGGCGAGCGTGAAATCGGCCATGGCGGGGGTGTCGGGCAAGCTCAGCGAGAGCCTCGGTCGTGGCTGTGCGTGCTTGCGAGAGAGCACTACGAGCGGCGGTGCTGTATCGCTGAGAGACGTCTACCCCCCCCAAAAATTGAGATAGTGGGGAAGTGAAGGTGTGGATGCGGTCCGAGATGGGATCGTAGGCTCTGAATACCAAGTGTTATGAGTGCAATTGAGTGAACGAGCGAGAATTGCACTATCGAAGCAAGAGTACAATGAGCGAAGGTATGAGCGAAGAATATATAGCGAAACTACAGTGGTAACGGTAATGGTCGCGCGACGAGCCTGGGACTGAGGTTGGGAACGTGTCGAAGTGTAGGCCCGGAGCGCGGGTTACCAGCCGAGCCGTGAGGTCGGGATGCGATGTGCGAAAATGGCGGGATGATGAATGATGCGATGGTTGTGAGTGGTAACGGTGCTGACTGAGGTGCTACAGTGATGTACGCGTTGAGCAGAGATGCGAAGTAAGGAAAAGGGAATTTCCTTACACACCTACATAAGGACAGGCAGGCCACTACATAGAACGTGAAGCACATGAAGGAGCTGTCACAGTTATAGTTGTCCATTGAGGTGGTCCAGCCTGGACTCTTCTGTGGATGCATGAATGAACTCACACACACCTTGGAATGCCTTCAAATGGTTTATATCTGATTAGAACCTCTTTTCCAATATCACGTGCCTGCAAGGTGCTCAGAGTGCCCTTGAAAAAGTTCACCAATCATGCTCTCTACTTCTTCCAGGCTGTACTTATGCTTGACCAGAAAGTCCTTGGAACCAGGGAATTGACGACCTTGATGATCCAATTTGGACCTGCACACATGACCAGGTAAAGTTGATATTCAACCAAAATTGAAAGATCAGGAGCTTAGACAGCAGCCTTCAATGGAAACAACTGACAGGATCCAGAATCCAGACCTCGCATGGAAGAGAAACGACCGATAAGCTGGGACAACCAGTTCTCCAACAAGAAGCTGGGCTGATGTGCGAAGCTCTGCATCAGGAATAGCCCAAAGACGCTGCTTTGCAATAAGCTCCTCAAATGTGGTGTTGAACAACTTGAGTCTGCAATGACAACCTTCATGGTGTAAGAATACAAGGAGCTACCCAGATGTATCCAGTAAACGTAATGTGCCATACCTCTCTTTTATAGTGCCTTTGCTGAGCGACTGCACGTCTGCTTGCACTGCTCCAGCTGCTTCTCCACTGAGAGATAATAGGCTGAACACCTGCACTTCGTTAATGATCAATATGCAATCACAGCAGTTTAAGAGCACCTTCAATTACCTTGCCCCAAGCAGCACGTCTGTAGGCTGAAGCCGCCTGCTGAACATATATCTTTTGTTGTTGAGCCCATACCTCCCCAAGAACTTCCTTAAGCTCGCACCTGGATGCCAAACGCAGTTGGCAGTTTAGACATTCTTACTTAACAAAAAGAACAATACCAATTTTAACAGAAAAATTCCCACAAAGACCCACCTCTGGATTTGGTGCACAATGTGATGAACATTATTCATCATAAAAACGCATCCCAAGCTGGGATCCTTGTACTGTTTAGATTTCTTATCCAAGTTCTTCAGCAACATCTCAAGTATCGAGTGGGTAAGCAGTGAAAACGAACCAGGTCCTCTCTCCACTTCCAAAGACATCCGCTCTAAAACTGAAGAGCGCCTGCAGTTGAACAAACGTTGATTACATGCAAAACTCTTAAAATGGTTGGTAAAAACGGCTGGCCTGTTGACGACTTACTCGTGACAGCACTTCAGGTAGTTAATTACGTAGCTGGTTAGAGGGTGAACCGTGCCATTCAGAAGCTGCTTGCTGTCATCATTATCAATCGCTGCTTCGAGCTGATGAATGGTTTGAACAGTCACCAGGCATAACTTCTCCTTAAGCGAAGAAACTCGCTTTACAATGTCATCCCATTTCTCCAGTGTGACCTTAAGTATTTGTGTACCAGCTTAGATTCCTCATAAAAGCAAAATACAATAAAGTTGGGCAAGGTCTCTCACCTGTGTCAAAAGTTCTTCTGCGGCCTCATACATGTCAAGAGTCGCAAACAACTTTTCAGGTGACTTGAGAACACTGGTGAAGGTAACCCCAGTGTCAACAAGAATCTTCATGATGTAAGTCAAAGCCCCAGTCTTAGCCCTCGCCCCCAAGACATCCATGCCTTTGAATATTCTCATTGCTAAGAGGCCCTCAGTGCTCATCACTGTGCTTGTCTGTCACGCATATAAAGGAAGTCAAGCATAAAACTAAGAAAAATCACGATGTTAAGGTGCTGCTGATACTGACCAACACAGCTGACATGTGCATCCAAGTCTGAAGTTTCCCTTCCATGTCCTTCCACTTCAAAGAAGTAGGATCAACTATTTTCAATGACTTCCAGTCAATCTGAGAACGTTGTAGGAACTCTTCAACACACGTTCTCCTCACATCCCTGCTCGTAACCTCTGTGAGTCCCAGAGTCCAATATGCTTCTGGCATACTTTATCACAGAAACACAGTATTGGACTTACACATAGATCTTGACGCAGTCTTCCGCAAAGCCCAGCTTCACTAGTGCTTGCACCAAACCAACAAGGCGAGAGACAAGAGCCGAACTCCCGTCGATTCCCCTTACGTCGTCGGAAATGTCAATATCGTTCCTGCTAAAGCAACCAAGGTGGGTAATCCACACATCCAGGCAACCCAGATGCTGGTCGACGAGGAGAGGAAGTAACGAAAATTGGATAACGCCAGTGCCGGGGGAACAGCATGTCGACGGAAAGAGTGACCTACAGTTCTAGAAGTTCCTTTCTGAGAGCATCTTTCATGTTCCGTATTCCTTCTTGAATGAGCTTCTTCGCGCAGAACAGCGCATGCGAAGCATCTTCTTGTTCTGCGTGTCGCTCGAAGAATGCGATAATGCCAGCCAATCGGTCTAAAGCTTGCCTGTACTTAATTAAATCTCTTGAACCGCCATCCTCAATTATTCTCGCGACCTGGTTGAAGAGGCATACATAAGAGTTGGTCGGGAACACCAGAAGCTGTGCCCAACTTACCTCTCGAAACTTCTCGTATTGCTCGATCATGAAGGTTGCCGCGTCAAGCGCCTTGGTCACGTTACTGTGAATGATTTGGTGATGTCTTGTGGATGCCTGCACGAAGACCGCGTTAGCAACCACAGACATTCATAAGCACGTACAAATTCGTCAACACTCCACCTGCACTGGTCTAATTCCACGCTCCAACTCCGATAGCCGCTCGTCGAATGAGTCTAAGGTAAATATCATGTTGTCCGTCACGTCCTGGGAGTTTGCAAGGGCTGCTCTCAGTGCAGCTGCGTGAGCCACCAGACCTTTCTCGGGAGCGGCCATGACAACAGCAGGAGCGTAGTAGGTGTGAAATGGTGACTAGTGCTGAAACTAGTTATGAACTCTCGGAAGAAACCAGGGTTGCTGTTGAAAGGTTGGGTGGGAAGCAGTCGCGTTGGCAAGTGCCCGCTTCACCTGTGCTGAATCAATCTGCTGGGTTGGGTTGGGTTAGGTGGGTTGGGGTGTTGGGGAAAACAAAAATGTTTCTATGGCTCCCCTCTGTTTTGCAGCAACCCTCTATTGTACACACCACAAGCAGAGTGGTCGCTGGAAAAGCACGTAGTTTTGCCACCGCATGAAAAATATTTTGTTTCTTCAAATACACACTTTGTTGCCCGCCACCAACCCACCATCCCTTTCTTCACAACGGCACAGCCCCACCTCTGGTTCTGGAAGCATTCCAGTATTTCTGGAAGCTTTCTCCGTCACCTCCACTTCATCCGTCGCAGCTCCGTGGGTCTCATAGCTGCGACCTCATTTCTGTTTCCACAATACGCACGGTCGCTAGCTTCACAGAAGTATATTACGCAAACTTTGATTGCGCTTGGTGTCAGCAAAGGCTAGAGCGTTTTGCGTGCCTAGATTGTTCAATACCAGCGTAGCGTGTTGGTCACGTCAATATTAGTCCACATCCAATCATGGTGGCGGGAGGCCCGTGGCTGCAGCGTGTGATCCAGTACGTCGCAAACGAGCTGATCGTCGATCGATTAGCGAACAGCCCTACCTTTCAACGGTTTGCTGTCCGATCCAACAAGAAGCTGCAGGAGCTAGCACAGAAGGGTAGGTCGCAGATCCGTCAGCATTCTTAATCTTTCATCCAGGTTGAAGATTTCTGGGGGGAAGTTTCTCATGTAGCTTTTGCGTTGTCGATCATCGTGTTCGCGTTTCAGGTGTGGCGCAGCGGCAGTCGTTGATGGAGCAGGTCAAAGAATTCAGTGAACAGGTACCTACCAGCAGCCTTTGGCACAGCGTTTCTATTCCATCTCTCTCTCTCCCTCCCTCCCTCCCTCCCTCCCTCCGTCCCTCCTCCCTCCTTATCTTCCACTCCCTCCATCCCTTCAACCCTTCCTCCCATCCTCCCATCGTCCGTTCCCCTACTTATTTTCCCTCACCCATGTCTGCCTGTTTGCTGTGAATTCCCGCCACGACCTCCTGACAACCCCCCTCCCCCGCCGCCCCTCACCCCTTGTTGCTGGTGCTGTCTCAGCTCAAGCAAGGAGCAGCAGGCTCAGGCGGCAGAAGTTGATTCTCCTTGCAAAATGTTTTGAGTTGTGGTGGTTTATTGTAACACGCATACATGTACAGTGTCGGTCTGTCAGTGAAATATAAGCGTCAACTAGGACAGATGGACTTCTGTGAAGCTTGCAAATCCATAAACAAGAAATAGAGAAAAAAAAGGGGTTTGACTAAAAAAAAAGGGTAACAGAGAGACTAACCCAATATTTCCACTCTGTTCATAATCTTACCTCAGATTGCATTCTACTGATCAGCTCATGTGATGACACAGCAGCACAGGATCATCTTTGTCCCCCAACCTTCCCCACTTATCCCCTCTCCCCCTCCCTGAAATCACTACCCTGAAACCCCCCATATGAGCCACCACTTTCCAGGGCTTCACCTCACAGCGCATTGGCAGCGTCGCCCTCCCACCCGTGCACTGCCTGGAACATCCCCTGGGCCAACTCATCCCTCTCGGCCACGGCAGCAGGGGACTCGTCATCGGCTCGCCTGGCGGGCACGTAGTCATCAAACGCCTCATACGCCCAGTCAGGGTCAAACGCCTCTCCCTTCTGCTCCAGAAAGTTGTGCAGTGCACAGCACGCCCCCACCAACCGCGGCAGCTCATGCAGCTTCCCCTCAGCCCGCCGAAGCAGGATCCGCCACCGTCCCTTCAGCCGGCCAATCGCGTCCTTCCCCACCGCAGTGCCCTTCTCTATGCACTCGTTGAACGTGGTCTGATACCACGTGGCGCTGTCTGAATGGGGGTACGGAACCAGCAGCCAATCCAGAAGCGGGTACGACCGTAACCCAATGACCTTGGCTCCCTGAAGCTCCCCAGCTTGTCCTTTCTGGTGGAGGGTCGACTGCTGCAACACCTCATCATCAGAAAGCGCGCCGGGCAGCCCGATGCAAAGATCCAAAAACTGCCCGTTGGCATCAATGGCTGTTTGCATGGCTATAGAGTAGGAGGGGCGGGCGAATCGCTCTGTGTGCTGCTTGTTGTGGTACTTTGCAAGGTTGGACCGTGGCGTGTTGATGGGCAGGTGGGTTGTGTAGAGAGTTGCAATCAGCTTCCCGTTTCCCAGCTGCTGTGCCACAGACGAAGCGTGGTCCAGCCCGCACAGGTCCAGAAACTGGGAAGAAATTTCACTTGCCCGGGTGCTGCCCGGCTCAGGCCAGACAACCACCTTGGGCAGAACAACTTCGTTCAGCGCCTTGAGAACGTCATTTGAGACGAAATGCACGGTGGTCTGGCCGAGCCCGAACCTCCTGGAGATCAAATGGAGAGGCTCGGCAGTGGCCAGGCGCCAGAGCGACGCTCCAATCCTGATGTCCACAGGAATCGCTTCCCTGATTCTGGTAGATCGTTTCACAATCAGCGGCCCCAGAATGTCACAGAGCTCCATGAAGGTCTCTCGGCTCATCCTGAACGTCTTTCGGAACGTTTCCGGGGGGTAATTTGGGTCAATACACTCCTCCCACCACGCGCGGGAGCGTGGCCGCGTCCACAGCCTCCGGTAGACCATCTGGTGCTGCGAGAGCGTGGCGCCAGCTGTCATGCCGGCCATGCAGACGCGCCTCAGCCGTTGGATCTCCTGCTGGCGGATCGCGTTGTTGTCTGCGATGTCCCGGTGGAGGTTGAGCTCGATAGAACGCACGAGGGAGTGGTGGCGAAGCAGGTACTCGGAGCGAATCACCCGCAGGCGCTTCAGGAAGAAGGAGGTTTCTTTGGCGGCGCGCTGCTCTTCCAGCAGCAGCAGGAGCACCATGGCGATGGCATCCTCGTTAGTGGAAGTCTCGATGCAGGTTAAGAGCTCTTGGAATTCAGCTTCGGAGCAGAGGAGAGGTGAGGGAGTCGTGGGGATGGATGGGTAAAGCAGGGCGATGCCCTTGTTCACTCCATCGCCTTCCTTTCCTTCCTCTCCATCCCCTTCTCCCTCCTTGTGTTCCCCTCCTTTCTTCAACTTTCTCAATCTCCCCTCTCTCCCTTCTTCCTCCTCCCCCTCCTCTACATCACCTTCAACTCCCCATTCCTCCTCTCCTTCTGTCTGGCCTAAGTCCTCCAGCCGTCTCTTCCTGCTCTCTCTCCCACCCACCACCCCTCCAGTTTCCCCATCTCCTTCCCTTTCTCCCTCTCCACCCTCCTCCTCGGCTTCATCTCCCCCCAACCGAGCCACCTCAACCGCATCCAAATCGAATGCGTCTGCTCCGTCCGATGCCAAGCCTGCCACTGCCGAACCTACTAGTTCCAAACCTGCTACTGCCGAGCCCACAAGTGACAGGTCCGCTGCCTCCGAACCTACAAGTCCCAAACCTGCTTCTGCCGAAGCTGCAGGAGGCTCGGCGGGAAGACCACCCTCGCTGGAAAACCCCTGCAGCTCGTGCTGCTGCTCCTCTTCCTCATACTCTTCTTCAGCCTCGTCCTCCTCCTCCACCTCCTCGTCTTCTTCCTCCTCCTCTTCCTCCTCCTCCGCCTCCTCGTCCTGCCGCCGCTGCTGCTGCTGCTGCTGCTGCTGCTGCTGCTGTTGCTGCTGCGGCTGCAACTGATTCTCCTGCTGCTGGTTGTAGTATGAACTTTGCTGCAACTCCTGCTGCTGATGCTGTTCCTGCGCTCCCTGCTGTTGCTGCTGATCCTGCGGCTCCTGCTGCTGCATGAACTCGAGGAAATACGGCTGATCAAGCTGCTGCTGTTGTTGCTGTTGCTGCTGCTGTTGCTCCACCACCTGCTGCTGCTGCTGCTGCTGCTGCTGCTGCTGCTGCTGCTGCTGCTGCTGCTGCTGCTGCTGCTGCTGCTGCTGCTGCTGCTGCACCTGCTCCTGCTGCACCTGCTCCTGCTCCATCTGCAACTGCTCCTGTGCCTGTTGCTGCCGGTAAAACCCCTGTTGGTGCTGGTATGGTTCTGATCGTTCCTGCTGATTGTACCCTTGCTGCTGCTGCTGCTGCTGCTGCTGCTGCTGCTGCTGCTGCTGCTGCTGCTGCCAGTTTGTCTGAAGGTTTCGCTGCTGTTGCACCAGATATTGAAGCATTTGTTGCGGATCCGCTACTGGTGCCTGCTGCTGCTGCTGCTGCTGCTGCGACTGTCGCTGATGTTGCTGCTGCAGTTGTTGTTGCTGCTGATGATGATGCTGTTGCGAGTGTTGCGGCTGAGGCTGCTGCTGCCGGAAAATCTGTTGCTGAAACATTTGTTGCGGCTGCATTTGCTGCCGTTGCTGCTGCTCGTGCAGCTGAAACTGGCTTTGCAGCAACTGCTGCTCCCGCTGCTGCGGTTGCGGCTGCGTCTGCTGCTGCTGTTCCTGCTGCTGATAAGAATACTGTTGATGCTGTTGGAATTGCTGCGGCTGAAGGTTAGCCCGTTGCAAGGGCGCCTGGCGACTGAATTGCTCTTCGTCATACACGCTCTGCGACGGCTGATGCGTCGCTTGCTGCGACACTTGCTGCTGCGACGATTGATGCGCCACTGCGGACAGCAGCTGCGATTCTAGCAACGCGAACTCAAGCGCAGCTGCGGGAGACGGCGCGGAAGGCGCAAGAGGCGCGGAAGGCGCGGGAAGCTGCGCCTCATTGCGCAGGAAGGGCTGCGCGGAAGCAGCGGAACGGTCCGCGGGGGAATTCGCGGCTGCGCCGAAGGCGGAAGCATCCGGGGGGTTGAAGTGAGTGGGGAGGAAGTGGGAGATTGAAACTGCAGCGGAAGCGGCAGCGGGGGAAACGCCGGCGATGCCGCTGACGGGAGCGGGCGGCCAGGGAGCGGAGAAATCGTCGTTTACTTCCAAAGGTTGTGGATCGAAGGGAAATGCACCCCGCCGGCTGTGGCCATGATGACGGCCGAAAGGGTTGCCGTCCATTTTTTACCCTGACTATGATGTTGACCCTACAATGACCACCTCTCCTCACAATTGCCGTTTACAAGGAGTAGCAGCTGTTCTCGCTTATTGCAATGCTCGAATAAAAGTTTCAGACACTGTACGACTAGGAAGAGTTTATTGGCTGAAAAAGCGTCACGCTGATGCTATGCTTTGAAGAGTGTCTCATCAAGCAATCAGGCGTTTGCAATTGAGCAAAGTTCAAGTTTGAACTCTCGAATCAAATAGTGAACTCAAGAAGGAATGAAACCGCCATAGCCTGAACGCAGGAGCTGGGAAATGGAAACCCTAGGAGTGCGTTCAGTGATCCAGCTTCACCAGCTCTACTAGTGGTTTGAAACTGGCACTTCTCGCGTCCAACCAAACACGGTCTGTGGATCCCGATAAAAATGGGATACACCAGCACATCACGCCTTCAGGTTTTATGTCAAATACACTCAATCCTCGCCATTCAGTCTAGTAGAGAATTCACTATACCGAAACGCCAATGTGTAACCTGTCGGGCTTTCCCAAACCTAGGCTCAAACCGTAGGTTGAGGAGGTTAGGTGGAGCTTGAACACCAGCTGGTCCGAACCAGATTCGAGGCAAGGGCCAGCTTCAGGACGACAGTCCCAAGGTCACAACAAGGCCAAGATGTACCACGCCCCTAGGGTTTCCATTTGCTTTCACCATCGTTCAGGCCATGGCGGTATCGGTTCCTAATGTGTTCCCGTTCAGTATTTGATTTTGAAAGTTCAAACTTGAACCTACTTTCAAATGCGAACCAACGCACGAGTCAGGCCGTGATTTCTGAAGCGTAGCATCAGTGTGACGCTTCGTGGTTGGATGATGCGGCATATTCCCCAGCCGTGTCGCGTCTGAAACAACTACTGTCCAACTTTCGCGTTTATAAGGCATGCTTTTCTGACGCTACTCTCTAGGCATTGCTAGGAGCTGCAAGTGCTTCTACTTCTACGCGACGCGACAGCGTAGCTTGTGATAATTGTAAGGGAAATTAGTCAGTGATCACTGTAAGGGTACCTTAGTCGGTTGTCATTGTAAGGAATTTTTCAGTCAGTGCTCATTGTAAAGGGATATTCGTTAGTCATTAACGATGGACGGTAACTCCTTTGGTCGTCATCATCGCAACAACCGTGGAGGTGCATTTCCATTCGACCCACAACCTCTCGAAGCAAGCGACGATTTCTCCGCTCCCTGGCCCGCTCCCACCAGCGGCATTGCCGGCCCTTCCCCCGCTTCCGCCTCCGCCGCTGTTTCCATCTCCCACTTCCTCCCCACTCACTTCACTCCACCGAATGCTTCCGCTTTCGGCGCAGCCGCTGGTCCCCCCGCGAACCGTTCTGCTACTGCCGCGCAGCCCTTTCTGCGCAATGACGTGCAGGTTCCGGTGCCTTCCGCGCCTTACGCGCATTCTGCGCGTTCCGCGCCTCCTGCGCCTTCCGCGCCTTCCGCGCCGTCGCCGGCAGCTGCGCTTGAGTTCGCGCTGCTTGAATCGCAGCTGTTGTCCGCAGTGGGGCAGCAAGCGTCGCAGCAAATGTCGCAGGACGTGTATGAGCAGTTCGATCGCCAGGCACCCTTGCAGCGGTCTCGCCTTCAGCCGCAGCAATTCCAGCAGCATCAGCAGCAACAGCGGCAGCAGCCGCAGCAGCAGCAGCAGGCGCCAATATTGCATCCAGAGCAATTGCTTCAGTACATGGTGCAACAGCAAAATATTCAATCAAAGTGGCAGCAGCAGGACCAGCAGCAGCAGCAGCAGCAGCAGCAGCAGCAGCAGCAGCAGCAGCAGCAGCAGCAGCAGCAGCAGCAGCAGCAGCAGCAGCAGCAGCAGCAGCAGCAGCAACAACAGCAGCAGCAGCAGCCGCAGCAGCCGCAGCAGCCGCAGCAGCCGCAGCAGCAGCAGCAGCAGCAGCAGCAGCAGCAGCAGCAGCAGCAGCAGCAGCAGCAGCAGCAGCAGCAGCAGGCGCCAGTAGCGTCGGGTCCAGAGCAATTTCTTCAGTACATGGTGCAACAACAGCAAATTATCCAATCAAAGTGGCAGCAGCAGGAGCAGCAGCGGCAGCAACAGCAGCAGCAGCAGCAGCAGCAGCAGCAGCAGCAGCAGCAGCAGCAGCAGCAGCAGCAGCAGCAGCAGCAGCAGCAGCAGCAGCAGCAGCAGCTGCAGCAACAGCAAAGGTACGATCAGTATGAGCGGCCAGAACCGTACCAGCAGCAGCAGGTCTACCGGCAGCAACAGGCTCAAGGGCAGTTGCAGATGGAACAGCAGGAGGTGCAGCAGCAGCAGCAGCAACAGCTAGATCAGCCGTATTTCCTTGACTTCTTGGAACAGCAGCAGCCGCAGCAGCAACAGACACGAGAGCAGTTGCAAATGGAACAGCAGCAAGAACAGCAGCAGCGGCAGGAGCAGCTTGATCAGCCGTCTTTCCTCGAGTTCCTGCAGCAGCAGCAGCAGCAGCAGCAGCAGCAGCAGCAGCAGCAGCAGCAGCAGCAGCAGCAGCAGCAGCAGCAGCAGCAGCAGCAGCAGCAGCAGCAGCAGCAGCAGCAGCAGCAGCAGCAGCAGCAGCAGCAGCCACAGGAGCAGCAGCCACAGGAGGCGCAGCAACGTTCATACTACAACCAGCAGCAGGTGCAGGAGCAGCAGCGACAGCCGGGAGAACAGGAACAGCATCAGCAGCAGGAGGTGCAGCAACGTTCACTCTACAACCAGCGGCAAGAGCAGCAGCAGCAGCAGCACGAAGAGGAAGTGGTGGAGTTGGAAGAGGAGGAAGAGGAGGAGGAAGAAGAAGAGGAGTACGAGGGTGAGGAAGAGTATGAGGAAGAGGAGCAGCAGCACGAGCTGCAAGGGTTTGCCAGCAAGGGAGGTCTTAGCTCGGCAGTAGCAGGCTTGGAGCTTGTAGGTTCGGCAGTCGCAGGCTTGGCAGCGGACGGAGCAGACGCTTTTGATCTGGACGTTGTTGAAGTGGCTCGGGTGGGGGTGGAGGGAGCGGAGGAGAGGGAGGAGGAGAATGGGGAGAGGCAGAGAAAGGAGAGAGGGGATGGGCTGGAAGTAGATGGGGAGGCTGGTGGGGTGTTTGGTGGAAGAGAGAGCAGAAAGAGACGGCTGATGGACTTACACTTGACGGAAGGAGAGGAGGGAGTTGAGGTCGATGAAAGGGAGGAGGAGGACGAGGAGGACGAGGAGGGTGAGGAGGAGGAAGGGAGTGAGGGAGGGTTGGGAAAGAGGAAAAAGGGAGGGAAAACTAAGGAGCGAGAAGGTGAAGGAGAGGGGGGAATAGAAGGCGATGCAGTGAATGGGAGAAATAATGCCGCCCTGCTTCGCCCATCCATCCCCACGACTCCCTCGCCTCTCCTCTGCTCTGAATCCGAATTCCAACATCTCTTAACCTGTATCAAGAACGCTCCAAACGAGGATGCCATTTCCCTCGTTCTCCTGCTCCTACTGGAAGAGCAGCGTGCTGCCAACGAAACCTCCTGCTTCCTGCAGCGCCTTCGAGTGGTTCGCTCCGAATACCTGCATCGCCATCACTCCCTCGTGAGATCTATTGAGCTCAATCTCCTCCGAGACATCGCTCACAACGATGCCGTCCATCAGCGGGAGATCCAACGGCTGAGACGAGTCTGCATGGCCGGCATGTCAGCTGGCGCCACGCTGTCGCAGCATCAGGTGTTTTATCGAACGCTGATCACGCGGCCGCGGTCACGCGCGTGGTGGGAGGAGTGTATTGACCCGAATAACCCTCCGGAATTGTTCCGGAAAAAGTTTAGGATGAGCCGGGAGACGTTCATGGAGCTCTGTGGCATGCTGGGGCCGCTTCTTGGGAAAAAGCCGAGAAAAAACCCGAACCTCTTGGACATCAGGATCGGAGCGGCGATCTGGAGGCTTGCCACGGCCGAGCCTCTCCATCTGGTTTCCAGGAGGTTTAATCTCAGCCGGACCACGGTGCATTTCGTGGGGAATGATATTCTCAAGGTGCTGAACGATGTTATTCTGCCCAAGGTGGTCGTATGGCCTGAGCCGGGCAGCACCCGGGCAGCTGAAATTTCTTCTAAGTTCCTGAAGCTGTGCGGGGTGGATGGCGCTTCTTCTGTGGTACAGCAGCTGGGGAACGGGCAGCTGATTGGGACTCTCTACACAACACACCTGTGTATCAATACGCCGCGCTCCAACATGGTAAAATACCACAACAGGCAGCTTACCGAACGTCTCGCCCGGGAATCTTACTCCCTTTCCACGCAAGCAGTCGTTGATGCCAACGGGCAGTTTATCGATCTTTGCATCGGGCTGCCTGGGGCGCTTTCTGACGAGCAGGTTTTGCAGCAGTCGACCCTCCACCAGAAAGGACAAGCTGGAGAGCTTCAGGGGGCAAAGGTCATCGGGTTGCGGTCGTACCCGCTTCTGGATTGGCTGCTGGTTCCGTACGCCCAATCAGAGAGCGCCACGTGGTATCAGACCACGTTCAATGAGTGCATAGAGAAGGGCACTGCGGTGGGGAAGGACGCGATTGGCCGGCTGAAGGGACGGTGGCGGATCCTGCTTCGGCGAGCTGAGGGGAAGCTGCATGAGCTGCCGCGGTTGGTGGGGGCGTGCTGTGCGCTGCACAACTTTCTGGAGCAGAAGGGAGAGGCGTTTGACCCGGACTGGGCGTATGAGGCGTTTGATGACTACGTGCCCGCCAGGCGAGCCGATGAGGAGTCCCCTGCTGCCGTGGCCGAGAGGGATGAGTTGGCCCAGGGGATGTTCCAGGCCGTGCACGGGTGGGAGGGGGGAAGTTAAGGCAAGTTTTTTCCCGTCTTATGGCTATGGGTCTTTTGAGGTTGTGAAATGCACAACATGGGGGAATGATTGGACCTTTAAACATATCAGCTGCGTTGTGCTTGATAGATGTTTCCAAAGTCATCTTTTTTGCCATCCATGCCATTAGGCCATTTCTGTAACAAGTTACTGTAGGGCGTGTTCGTATCCTGCGGCTCCCCTATCAGGCAACTCCTTATCAGACTTGCCTTATAGAATGTGAAAGGGTCTTGGAGTTTACGTGAATTTCAGTCTGATGCAGAGTGAGTCTGATAAGAGTTTGCCTGATAAGGGGCCGCAGGAACACGCCCCTTATAAGCACATGTTCCAAAGAATCTCTTGCAACTGGTCACCAAAAACGTTTCTTGAAAACTGTTCCTCAACATGCACTTGGGCAACCCGACCCATGGAAGCTGCCCGAGAAGGATCGGCCCAGAGTGTAGCCAGTGCAGCAGCAAAAGATGAGGGGTTTGGAGCACAGAGGAAGCCTGTAGCACCATCGAGTATGCTCTCTGTGGGGCCTCCACTGTTGCATGCCACGACTGGCTTGCTTGCTGCCATTGCTTCCAATGGCACTATGCCAAAATGCTCGTTCTGAGGGGAAGAGGGGGAGAGTGTGGAAGGGGAAGCAGGGGCGGGATTGGGGGGGGGGACTGAAGGTGGGGAGGGAAGAGGAGGGAGGGGAAGGGGGGGGGGGGGGGGGGGGTCAATACAGCACAGCAAAGGCTGTTGGGTTTGGACCGCATAGGAAGCCTGTTGCGCCGTCCAGTATGCTCTCTGTGGGTCCTCCACTGTTGCATGCCACCACTGGCTTGCTTGCTGCCATTGCTTCCAATGACACTATGCCGAAATGCTCGTTCTGCGAAATGGAAGTAGGGTTAAGTCAATCGCACACGACAGTATGGCATAAACGATTCATGGCAAACGAAACCAGACCAACAAACAAGAAACCAAGAAAAAGGATGTGAAAGAAATCATGTAATAAGAAGGTCGTATGGGTAGCACTCACTGGAGGGGTGTAGACCACAGCAGTGCAGTGGGACAGCAGCTGAGCCTTGAGGGAGTCGCTAATGGAGGTGAGGAAAAGGACGTCCGATGCCACCCCTTCCATAACAGCTAGTTGTTTCAGCTCTTGGAGATACTCCACATTCTCCCGTACGCGAGCGTCACACCCACCTGAATCATAGAGAGATGGACGAGGAGGGACGATGGGAAAAATCAGTGAATGGCAGAGAGGAGGAGGGGACGGATGGAGGAAAGCTCAAGGGTTGGTGATGTCATCTGGTTAAGTTAAGACAGTGGAGCAGTTGTGACATGTCATTGTGAGAGGTAGCTTCACGCATCCAGATTGTTCGCTCATCAATAGAGTCCTCCCCGTTTGCCTCAGCACCATGAACAGCTCACCTGCCACAACAAGCCGAGGCCGCTGCCCCTTTGCCAAAGCGGCAACAGTAGCACCTTGGCTGCCGGGAGTGCCTGTGTGCCCTGACGAGCGGGTGAGCAGACCCAGAGCAGAGACCGCAGTGGTGATCTCCTTTTTGCGCTCGTAGCGGTTGATGGAGAGGAAGAAGGGGCTGGGGGAGGGAAGGGGAGAGGGGGGAGATTAGAAGGGGGAGAGACGAGTGAATCCTGGTCAGGGCCTGCGAGCAGGAAATTCCTTCTTGCGCTTGTAGCGGTTGATGGAGAGGAAGAAGGGGCTAAGGGAGGGAGGGGGGAGAGGAGGGGGTTGAGCATGGTGGAGGGGAGTGTAGTGGGGGGAGATTAGGGTTAATGTTTGAAGGAAAAAAGGGGAACAAGAAGGGCAGGGAATGGCAGTGATGCTTTGAGAGGTCCAAGAACAAAAAGCTTTCTAAGCAAGTTTAGCATGCGAGATTATGTGCACGCCATCCCATCCAGCCCACTCAGCTCAATCCGTCTCAATTGCCCTCCAAAAATCACCTGCTGAGATCTAGGCCAAGCTTCTCTGCTTCGCCCACAGCAGGACTGAGGGTGCCAGAACCACCCCTGCTAGCAGCAGTAGCATCGATAGCAGCGTTGGCAGTGGTGGCAGTGTTGGAAGACGAGGCAGGCGGTGGGGAATCAAATGCTACAGCCGGGTAGAGCACAGCGGGGCGGATGCCATGTGATGCTAGCGAGGGGAAGGTGGAGGCGAATGTGGCTGCAGTGAAGTGACTGTTCACCACTATGGTGTCCGCCATGCCTGCAGGGATACAGAGGCGATGGAGAGAAGAGAGAAAAGAGCAGAGAGAAGAGAGAAGAGAGGAGAGAGGAGAGAGGAGAGAGAAGAGAGGAGAGAGAAGAGAGGAGAGACTTTGAGAATTCACAAAAGTGACTCCAATGTGGCTGCAGTGAAGTGACTGTTGACCACTATGGTGTCCACCATGCCTGCAGGGTGGGGTTGAGCACATTCGAGTGAGTGGTAAACACTATTGCCGCAGGGTAAGAAAGAGCCCACACCACTGATAAACTCATGCCAACCAACAGCACGCACCAGTGGTGACCTATGTTGGAAAAAACGCGTTTCGCGTTTAGTACGCTTTCCGTATAAACGCTAGAGTTTATACGCAGTACGCTGGCCGGAGGGGGTCTGGTACGCACAGAAAAACGCTTGCCCGGGCAGCTAAATTCTTCTCCCGGGCAGGTTAAGATGCTAGGTCAAGAGACGGGAACGGGAGCTGCTGTAGTAGGTTATCGTCGCAAGTGAAATTAGAAGGGGATCGAAGGGAAAAACGACCTGACATTGAGCGGGGAGGATGAGTCTGGTTGAAGTTGGCAACAAAATTGGAAGGCTTAGGTAATCGATGTGGTTGGAATGGGTTGTTGAGCGGTTGATAGGAGGGGACGATTCACCAAACGGTTTCGAAATTCAGATCTGAGGTTGCATTTGCAATTCACGATCTCAAATCTGAATTCCGATACTCGCGAACACAACTGATTTTTTTTTCCCGGTCAGCCCGAGAGAAATTTGGCGAATTTTAGAAAAATACGCAGCGTACGAATTTTAGATGCGTATAAACTCAATACGCAACGTCAAACTTGCGTTTTTTCCAACTTAGGTGGTGACCTGCTCGACCCAGTCAATGGGCGCTCGGTACAGCGAGCACACAGTGAGAGATCAACATTAGCATACACACATGCCACCAGAAACACCATCCTGCACGCACCAGTGGTGATCTGCTCCACCCAGTCAACGGGAGCTCGGTACAGCGAGCACACAGTGAGGGATCAACATTATTGCCTGACGGCATGAGCACACACCATTGAGTGATCAACACATGCCAACAGCACGCACCAGTGGTGACCTGCTCCACCCAGTCAATGGGCGCTCGGTACAGCGAGCGCAGCCACGAGCCTCGCTGAGCCAGCAGCAGGTCCGGGAAGTGACAGTAGAAGAGGATCTGTTATGGGGGGAACGGGTGGGGTACGCTTGTGTTGCTATTGAGTATTCTTCCAAGTAACACAAGCAGAGCCTCGCTAGGCCAGCAGCAGGTCAGGGAAGTGACAGTAGAAGAGGATCTGTAAATGGGGGTAGGGTAGGGGTGTTGGACGTTTGTGTTCATTTTGAGAGCTCCCACAAGTAACACAAGAATAACCTCGCTGGGCCTGCTGCAGGTCCAGGAAGTGACAGTAGAATAGGATCTGTTATGGAGGGATAGGCATGGGGGATGCACAGGATAGTGGGAACGCATGACAATGCGTTTTGTTTTTAGAAGAGGGTAACAGCAAGAAAGGTCTGTTACACAGGGAGATGGAAGAAGCGCAGAGGAAGTGAGTTTTGGAATATTTTAATTTAAACGCCAGTGAAAAATGTCGCACGGAGGCGTGTAATAAGTGGTGAAGAAGAACATTGGACAGGCATGGCTGGGCCGGCAAGCATGAAATGGAACGAGCACAGTGCAGGTAGGATTGTGAAGGGGAAGGGGAGGGGAACGGGAAAGGGGAGGGTGGAGGGGAAGGGTAAAGAGAATGGTAAAGGAGCTGGTTTTTGAGAATTCTCAAAAACCAAATGGTTAAGGAAAGCGTAAGAGTAAGTTCAAAGGGATTGGAAGGGAACCCACCTTGGCAGGCAGCAGTCTGAGAATGGGATGGACGGCTGAGACTTGATCTGTGATGATCGCATCAACGGCTGGGATCCACCGGAGCCACACAGAGATGACGATGCAGAGAGCCGCCCAGAGGCACCTGAGGTAGGCGCAGACTGCGTGAAATCGGCCGGCGATGTGGCGGGGGAGGAAACTTCCATGCACGTGCACAGGGAAGGTGCCTGTTGAAGAGGGGATTGTAGGCGGTGGGAATTGTGTTGCGTTAGTAGCCGATTCGAGAAGCCAAAAGGGTGAGCAAATTTGAGTCACAACGGCTTGATGGCATGCCCTGTTGCTATGCTCAGAATGTCTTTGCGCAATTGGTTACAACTGCCTCTACTGAGGAACAAGGAATGCAATAGCTGAGAGCAATCAGACAGAGAGTAAGGCGATGGTCCCTGGGAACCATCTGTTGGGGTCATGAGCAGCTGTGAAAGGGAACGTGATAATCCCACACAAGTTCAAATCTATGATTCAAGAGATTCAACAGCATATCGTACCATCAATGGTCTCCGGGAAGCATCTGTTCGGGTCATGATGGACTGCGAAGACCCGCACGCTGTGGCCTCTTGACGCCAGCAATGGGTCATGATGGGCGTTAGGACAGCACACCGTACCATCAATGGTCTCGGGGAAGCATCTGAGAGGGTCGTGATGGGCTGTGAAGACCCGCACGCTGTGGCCTCTTGACGCCAGCAATGGGTTATGATGGGCGTTAGGACAGCACACCGTACCATCAATGGTCTCGGGGAAGCATCTGAGAGGGTCGTGATGGGCTGTGAAGACCCGCACGCTGTGGCCTCTTGACGCCAGCAATGGGTCATGATGGGCGTTACGACAGCACACCGTACCATCAATGGTCTCGAGGAAGCATCTGAGAGGGTCGTGATGGGCTGTGAA